CCACAATTGACGCTTGAGAATAGGCAGTTTGAAACCCTTCTAGTTACCAGTGAGGTGATCTGGGAAGTAGGCAGATTGAGACGCCGGCGTCGTCACACAACTCTTAAAGGGCGTCACTACCTAGGTAGATTCAGACCCCGGTGGCAAGTTACAAAACCCTCAAATGTTCACTTTCCGAGAAGGCAGAAGGCAGATTGAGACCTCAATGTAGTCATATCTTCTTGAAAATAGCTTCAAAGTCGAGGCCTTGAGGTCGAACAACTAAAATCACCAGACGTGATATGAATATGATATCCTCTTAGATATCCTCCTTAGAAACAGTTATTATGAAATAAATATTCTATCTATCGAACACAGTTTAACCAAAAATGAGGAAACGATGATGATCTACCAAACATGTCCAAAACGTATGGAAATCCTTTTAATTTCAAAAGAAACCACACGCGCATGTTTCAAATTCGTTTGAAATCATCTGATCCAGTGATGAGCGAAGTTAGGAACACCAACACCTCAATTACCATACATGTAGCTCTGCAACTGATGAAGAATGAATATTACGGAAAAAGCCTGCTAATTGCATCTGGTCGGGCCATCAATCATCGTGGGATATTGAATTAGTCTCTGATATGATGGATAACATTTTTCAATGAACCACTGCGCTGGCAGCTTTATTAAACCACTGCACTGGTCAGATTTGATCTGGAGTTTGACTTGTGTTGATATACATATTAGTAACTTTGTTATCATTGCAATTACGGTTTTTCTTCAAATTGGCAAACCATATTGACATTTCTTACACTTAGCAAAATGCAAGAAATGAATACCAATTAACTAACACAACATTGAAATGTTCAGCGAAATATCCTATTTGTTGTGCCCACCTAAAGATTAATGTTTTTATGAATCATCTCGATCCCCAGGCACCGGGAATTGAGATTAATCTAGTTGCGTGCGCACGAGAAACTGACGATTTGTGTTGAGAAGGGGAGTTTGAAGAATTTTGGTTTGTAGATAAAAGATCGTATTCATTTCTGTATTCCTTCTGAACATCATTCATATCAATCAAATGAAATGTTGAATCATCAATATTGTTGTGTCTTTGCATGATTTGTACTCTAAAAATCAGATTTTTTTGGGTTGAAATGATGGCTGTCTATCATCTTGCCCATTGATTCTCGAGTTCATCTTTCTTCAATAAATCAGATTTTCTGTTATGATTTTTGGTAATATGATTATTTTGAACCGTGGGTTATGGTAACTATCGCGCGCGTCCCTAGGTGGCGGATAGGGGAAGGGCCAGGGGACTGAAGGCCCTGTCTCCTGACTCCTGGTCAGTGTTGGAAATAAGTAGGGTGAGGGGAACTGAAACTCCCTAAAAGTCTTTGCAAAACATGCCACCGTGGACCAGCCTACCCAAGCTAAGGTGTAAGGAATCGTACCGACAGCTGAATGGCCGTAAGGTGATATGCGGTCACGAACGATTCCCTTGGGGAACTGTGCGAAACCTCATTGTAATCAGCCTACCTCTGGTACTCGTGGGAACACGCATGAATGAAACAAACACAAAAACAGACACAACAAAAACAAAAACCAATCCCGAGTGTTCACCTTCATCTAAGGCCGTGGTTGGAGATGAACAGAACTTTTCACCCCAATCTACCGCTTGGAATGAGGCTGGACATTGCAGATTACCTCGTGATGTAATACAAAGGCCAAAGCGTAAGCGCATTTGCGGCGCTGATGCCAAAAAGAGGAAGAGAGCGAAAGAGGCAGGAGTGGCAGCAACTATAAATGCACCCTCCTCCTCCCTCATTTCACCTCCAACAGCAAGGGCACTTCCTGTGGCAGACGCCAAGAGCTTCGCCTTGAATAAAGGAAAGGCTGCCCCTATAAGAAAACTCCCTCGTTTGTGCACCTCCACGGAGGGAACCCCAAAAAGGTTGAAGAAGCCGCACAACGACAGTAATATCGCTGCACCTTCCAAAACCTTTGCGAAGGCCACCGTGAGACACCTCAAGGTTGCCAAAGAGAGTTTATGTTCGGCCAGTCTTGGCCTACACCTGCCAATATAAAGGAGATATCTCCTAGTGACCTGTTCACCTTGCTAGAAAGGACAGGATGGACGATGACTTAGGAGGACAACTCCTCGGGAGAATATACAATGGGTCACATATAGCCTAAGTGATGTGGGTCTACACTCACCCTCCCTACTACACAAATATAGATATAGATGATTCTTTGGAATTCCAAGTTGAGTGACCTTATGACCCAAATCTTGGATACCAGTAGGAGTTGTTTCTATTTCCGTTTGTCATTTCCCCAGATTCCATTTGACTAACCACGGAAATTGGAAGATCTGAAAGATTTTGGGGCAACTGTGGTGCATGTGTATTCGAAAGCATCACCAAGAAGTGTCACTGATTGAAACGGGACTTGGATTGAAAAGAATTATGAAGGACTATTTGCTTTCATACAATATTCTAATCAACCAGTTGAAGCTAGACTCACTCGTCATTCATTGATCGCCATGTCGAGTTCTTGATAACTAAAAAGAGCCAATACACATTCCCACTTTTTCGTACCATTTTGTCTCCATCACCAAACAGTTTGAGCTCATTCTGTTCAGCTGGGTTTAAATCTGATCCAAGGTCAACGACAACACCATTTATCATTGATTCATGCCTTGATAACAATAACATTTTTTTATGGAAGAACACTTTTTGTAGGTTTTTTTTCTGGAAGGTTTAAGTTTGAGTTGTGTAGAAAGAATATCTCTATTGGGAAAAATTTGTCTGAGAATGTTATAAGATGTTTTACAAAGATAACTGATATGTTTAGAAAATCTCAAATCGAAGTCAATCCACAAACCCAAGTTTTCAAATAGACCCGAAAATATTATCGCCAAAAACATATCTGTGAGTCAACAAGTCAAATCCAGATTTTGTACACATACTGAGTTTCAAAAGGCTGCTGAACTTCAAGAACGATTACTTGAGCTTGACATCCTCTCTTCTCCAGAAACAACCAATACTTCAAACGAACCACCGCTACCATCGCCTGATCATAATGAATCTCTAGAAATACTGTAGTAATCCCACTGAAACATCTACGGGTTTATAGCTGAGTCACCAGTGAAATAATATGTTAGTAACTGTCTATCAACCATTGGGAACCCTTTCGCTATTGCCGTGTTTGTTTCATTAAAAAAAAAATGGCAGCTGGTGTCACTAGATGCCGATTTTTCCACATCAAATTTTGGATGCTGGACAATTCCAAAAAGGCTGTAGGGTTCGTGCCGATCGCACGAAGGCCGGTCTTTTTTGAAATCTTATCATTTGGTATACCTACTTATAGTTCTCTCTCATATCGTTCCAGAACGATGCCGAATATGCTCTAACTGAATTTTAATCTCAGTTAAAATACTCTTCACTTACTATTTTCTTCTCGATAAATTTACTAAGAGATCTCTCATCTTTTTTTCTTTTTGAACTTCATCTTACTCTACGAGGATGGTATTTTTCTCAGTACAAGAGAAAATAAAATTTCGAAGTTTCAAATATATGAAATCTATGAAATAAAAGAAAATATAACAAAGAAATGCCACCAATTTGACTGTGCTATTTACCATTAATTCAATCTCTTAAACAACTACAAATGCTGCAACTCAGTACAAAATACTTTCAGTTTCACTTTTAATCTAGGGAGAGTGGTGTATAATTTGCTTTCTTTTTTAATTGAAATCTGAACTCTAGCTAAACAACACTTACTAGTGACCCAACAATATATGACTTATTTGCAAATAGGAAGTGAACCAAGATAAAATAATATGTGAACTATCTTTCTCAGTATCAACTGTGGTGTATGTAAAAAAAAAACTTACATAACGCCTCTTTGGGTGGTTCATGGTCAACCATAAGTTTCATTGGCCCGATGTGTCTTAAACACTAACACTTTTATTTTCTACTTTCCTGTACCCAATACCGGCTTACAATTTCGTTACTGACTTTTTTTAAATTTCGCACCCCATGCTTAGAAACAAAATATCTTCCCTATTCAAGCCACTATCCTCAGTCTCGAAGGCTGAGGGATGGCACCCCAGAACCCGCCTTCACGGGCTCTTGTGTCCGACCCTCTTCGTGGCTCTCGGAAGACTCTCCCGAACCTTCTGTTTTATCTGCCTTTCAAAAAACCAGCAAGAAATCACGGGTGCTTCCCCCTCGTTTCTCAAACCATTCTTTGTAACAGTCGCCAAGGTGCGACGGAGGTCACCCGAAAATCTACATCGCTGAATTGACAAACCTTTCAATGCAGGGATATTGATAATACCATATTCACATCCTGAGCTACGTGACAAATATATCTGACCGTGTATCTTTCCAAAACACGCCGATGAGTAGTGTTTATTTGAACACTCTCGGTCCCTCCGCCATAATTTTATATTGTATGAGAGACAGATCCGGCGTTTGAAAATCTGAATCAAAGAAATCTATCTCTTCCCGAAGTTAGAATATATATTACCATACTATAGCTTTCACTAGGTATTACAAGTGGTCTCAATCATCTCCTGATGATGATAACTTGGTTAGCGAAATTAACCCCTAGAGGGCACTAGAGTCGATGGTGATGATATCTGAAAGGAAATCATCGATGACTACCATGAAAACCATAAAAGGAAATTCAATTAGTGAATTATGATGCCAGATACGCTTCAAATACTTTAATAAAAATGACAACCGCAACTCTCCGTTTTTCTTGACAGTATTTTTCTGAAGATGTCACTATTTTTCGAGTTTGAAGGCCGTCAATTTTTGATTTTTTTTCCCGACGTTTCGCTGGCGCCAGTGGCTAGCTTCTATAGAATCTATAAATCCCGAGTTAATTCCGGTGACTGAATGTTACGGCTGCGTAAAGCATATTTGTGTTGACTCAGATAGTTTGGTGTGCTTATACCTGTACCTGGATTAGGTACATTGTCAATAACATTCGTCGCCCTTTTTTACCTGTCGTCATTCTGTTTGCTATTCTTGAACTTCTCACATTGAGATTTCATATTTGGGAAACCAACATGGCAGTGAGACCAACAGTCAATGCTTCAGGCTCGTCGACCTACCAACAGGCGAAGCATATGGCCTCGCTCCTCGAGCCTCATGTGGGAAAAACAAACTCTTACGTCGAGGATTCGACAGAATTTGTTGGTAAAATTGGGGACTCAACTCTGGAACCGACAGCTATTCTGATCAGCTTCGATGACCAATGTCCCACTGGAAGACTCTCTGAGGGGGCTAGCCTACTTGTTTCCAAGTGATATTGTCGGACTCTTTAGAGCATGTTTCACGGAGTAACTTCTATGAGCAACTAGATGGCGTGGAGTTGGGAAGTCCACTTAGCTCAGTGATAGCCAACTACTTCATGAAACGTTTTGAAGAGAAAACAATCGACATCTTTGAATTCAAACCAACCTTGTGTCTACGTTACGTGGATGACACTTTCGTCATCTGAAAACATAGAAGGGGTACTCTAACCCTTTTTAGACCACTTGAACGCTCCTCAGCATCAAGTTCACTATGGAGACTGAACGGGACCAGCGGATAGCATTCCTAGATGTAGGTACTCATCGAATGATATGATGCTAGACTAACCCACAAAGTGTACCTACAATCGACGCACACAAATAGATACCTGCACGTACTATTAAACAACCAACCAAGTCATCCTCTAACTGAATAGACTCGAAAAATATGTGAACCATAGCATCTAGAAAAACAACTGGAATATCTTCAAGGGACTTCAAGATCGAATGGATACACTGTACCAACAAGGCCATAAAACTGAAGAGTTCCACGATTCAAAACGGGAAGGAGGCTCAGAAGTTTGCACGCGCATATTCACTACATATCCTTAGGGTCACAGACAGAATTGGAAACACTACATTGAAACGGTTTTTAAACCCACCAAAAAGATATAACAAAGTCTCAGGTCGGCTAAAGACAAGAGATACAGCAGTAGGGGTATATCGCATACCGTGCACTTGTGGGAAGGTATACGTCAGAATCACCAAAAGATTCATGGAAACAAAGCTGGAGGAACATGAAAAAAACAGCAGACTAGGTCGAACGGACAAAATCGGCTCTGGTAAAGTATGCACTCAGTGAAAGAGGCCATAGAATTCTGTTTGAAAACACGAAACCAACCAAATATGGAATCCAATTTCAAGAAGTTCAAGATCAGCAAATATAATGACGACAGCTAAAAAAGGGTAAAAACGAATGTTATTGACAATGTAACTAATACACTTACAGGTATTAGCACACCAAACTACCTGACTCAACATAAATACTCTTTAGGCAGCCGTAATATCCAGTCATCGAACATAACTCGGGATGTATAAACCTCTGTGAAAGCTAGCCACTTGCTAGCTTCAGTAAGAAATTCCAAAAATCGACGGCCTTCAAACCCGAATAAAAATAGTGACACTGAAAACCTCAGCCGCTAAAGCCTTACCCATTCTTTTCTTAAGATGTTTGAATCATCTTTGATCTTTCCTTCTGGAATTCATAATGATGATCGCTTAAGATGTTGAAGCAATCGAAATATTTGAAAATATATTGATTAAACGCTTCTCTCAATGAGTCTCGATATCACCAAAAGTATAGCAAATCACCTGTAGTTATTTTAAATGTTTTTTTCGATTTTTTCGGGTATAGTCTTAAAACGGAAGTAAAGCTTGTTTGATTGGAAGTGGTTGACAATGTTTCATGATGCATTTCTATGTAACGCCGTTTTACTTTTTATTCATTCCTCAATTTATTCAACTAACAATTTATTTGTTTGAATTTAATTGATTCATGCATTTGTTCGACACATTAAAAACGATTGTTCGAAAAAATTTGTTCTATTTTAAATGACACTTGATTTAAAATGTTACATGAATTAATTTGTTTGATGAAAAGTTGCGAACAGTCATAATATAGATTCATTGTTTGAAATTTTTGGAAGTAATTGTTTGTCATATTAACTGTTAACACGAGATGGATAATTAAAAATCATCAACAAGAAATGAAAATTAAAAATCAAAAGATTCCAAGCCAAGTTACTTTACGACGGTTCGACTGTTAGTCGAACCATCTTCGGGTGATGACTGGACTTATTACTCCGAGATCTGACTACTTATAGACCATTCGAGTGCTTCCACCTATTTCCTCTCTCCGCTTCATCGGTTTTAGCGGGAGCTGACCATTCGGCGGGAGTTGGTCGTGTTCCGCTTGATCATAGGTTTCCATATGTTGCGTATCTCTACGCTAGCTTAGCTAAATGCATTGTTGGACAACATGTATGAGGCTTCTTTGAATTTTCTCCTAAACCAGTGTTCCTCCTTGTGGATGATTTCAGCCTGAGCCCACTCGATGTTATGTTGATGAGTCGAAACTTTGCTCTGCTATTCCTGATTTACTGGTTTCTCCTCGCTGTCTGTGTTTCCTATGCTTGGCAATGCAAACTTTCAATGGCCTCTTAGTTTCACCTCCGCACTCGCAGGGTATACGGTAAATTAAATTCTTGAAATCGCAATCCGCGTTTGGTGGCCAGGTTTTTGTGAGGCTGCTACAGATAGTATTCCCAGATCTGAAGCAGGTTCTGGTGTTATACTTGGACCACCCAATCCTTCTTATCCTTTCCGACAATCCTCTGATGTAGGGAAGTACATGTATTGGTTGTGGCAGATTCTCTCACTTGTAAGTATCTTGCTGTCTTATAGCCAAAGTTGAAGGTCATTTTTGATGATGCCTAGTTCCTTTTCGAGACCTTCTTTTGTATTACAAAGCCCAAAAGCACGGTCTACTAGAGTCTTGATGATTCCTCTCTTAGTCGATTGATGGTAAGAAGTGAAACTCCTTTCGATATTGAAGATGATGACATGGTCCCCTATGAAGAAGCCATATATGGAATCAACTGAAAACCGAGTCTTGATATATCAAAGATAAACAAGGCTCTTCATGGCAGTCAGTTGCGCAGTCTTCTGTCTTCCACTGTAGCTTTCACAACAAAGCAACTAGATGTGTTAGTGATCCAACATCACACAGCACTGTTTCGATCAGCGGTCCTAGGCAAGAAAATCAACTCTCCTGAAAAGACAAATGTCGTTCGGTGATCGATGTCAAAGCTTGGTTTTGCAACTGGGAATCTCGGGTATATTTGATATTCAAGGACTGAACCTTCCTTCGATCCCATATATGACGTTATCTTAGAGAAAAAAGTCATCACTTCATCTTTCAGCGCTGTCGGATATTGAATCACAATGATATAGTTTGAAGAACCTCAGAAGTTGAAGGATCGCCAGATTTCAAACAATTGATTTGAAAACTATCTGAAAATATTTGGGGTTGCTTTGAAAAAATCTACTAAATCTCTTTTTGAAATCTATCCCCTTCCAATTCAATTAAATTTTTGCCCTTCATACTGAAATCTGAATTGTAGAAACGTTTTCACACTGCAATAAAGAGGAAAACCACTAAATCAGCCATAAAATATATACTGAAACTTTAATACGAGACAAGGTATTTCGCATATAGCGGCAGTGTTGTAACCGTGTTGCTGACATTGTAAATCAGTTCGTAAATCACCAGGTGTCTTATCTGCGAATAAAACCGTTTTGTCAGAGTCAGACTGTGAATGGGAGAAAAATGTTGAAAATAAACTCCTGAGCTTTATTTTTGTAGCCAGATCGGCATATCCTTTGGCTTTGTGTGAATGTATTCGATAGTGATATGTGGATCGGCGAATTCATTGTTTTCTTTTCTAACAGATTCGTGATGAATTTTTCGAAGATGTGACAAAGATGTATGGTGTATAGTGAATTTGCCGAAAACAATTCACCGAAAAACAATTCACTGAAGATAAATGAAATGGTTCAATGAATGTATCAAACTTGGTTAGTTGGATACATGCATGTATTTTAACATTTGTGTTTTGATCTAGTAGTTAGGTCGTTTTGTTTGTTTGAAGGTGGTTGACAATGTTTCCTGGTGCATTTCTTTAGTTCGGATTTCCATTGTCTCTTTAAATCTGTTTAAAATCTGTTTTTCCGTTATTCAGCTGTCGCCTCATGATGTAAATTGATTTGAAATCCCTGAAAGAATCTGTGAAAAACTAAAAAGATTAGTAATACGCATTTAGTGAAGCTAGCGTAGAGATACGTAACATATGAAAACCTCTAATCAAGCGAAACACGACCAACTCCCGCCAAACGGTCAGCTCCCGCTAAAACCAATGAAGTGGAGAGAGGGAAGAGGGGATAAGTGAAAACGACTCGAATGACCTATAAAAAGTCAGATCTCGGAGGAATGAGTCCAGTTATCACCTGAAGACGATTGTGGATACTAACAATCGAAACGTAGTAAAGTAACTTGGTTTGAAATATTTTGATTTTGAATTTTCATTTCTAGTTATTAATTTTTCAATTTTCAGCTCCTGTTGATAGTTCAATTTTTTTTATTTTTTGGTTGTTGCTTGTATGTTATTTCATTGTAATTTCAGTTTTTTGCTAAATGAAATTGTTATTTTTCAGCTAATACAGATTTTTTCAAGGATTTCAAATCAATTTATATCATATTAGACAATGGAAGTCCGAAGTGATGAAATGTAGGTCATTTGTGTTTTCGTTATTTGTTTTTCGGTATTTGATGAATTGTTTTTTAGTGATTTCTTTTTATTCACAAAAAGGAAGAGCCCGAATCCGTTGAAAGTGATAGAAATATAATAAAAAAGAGGAGTATTTCCAAACCAAGGATATGTGGGATATTCGAATTGTTTCTAATTTCCCGAACTTTTCATGATCTTCTTCGATTGAATTCGAACCGGTTCATGAATTACTGATATTTTTCAGTACATTATATTCTTTTTGCACAATATTTTATGAATGTTCGGAAATGTGCATACATCCCAAATATTGCTTGCAAACCCATGCCGGTAATGCATATCAGAATTCGTGATATGGGCTTCAATTTTTCGATAATATTGTTCATTTCGAAAGCTTGAATAGGTGACTGGACTTGA